ATCAAACAATTTCTAACATGTTCGCTCAGTTTTTTAAATCCAATTATCCCATTAACTCACATGCTAACATTGACTATCCTTTTAAACTGTGGCCAATGAACTCAATAAATATTCCAGTAATATCTCCGGATGATGTAGTAGTTTATCTGAAATCCTTCAGTTATGGTCCCGACTAGATCCCTACTTGTATTCTAATAAATTGTGCTGATTATCTCTGATAATTTCGGGATAGAGCTAGGGCTGATTTTCTGTGGAGCGGGAAATAAAAGAATACAACTGTGTTAGAAAATTGTTTATTTCTGAAATTTATGGAACTCAACTTACCACGTCTGTCTTCTATAGAGATCGGCAGAAAACTAATATCCTCAGCTTACTTAAACATTAGAGAGCCTGGAGTAGTAAGCGGAGCTTTTTGACGAACGCGGTAAGTTAGGGTTGCCATTTGGCAAACGGAGTGAACATTCCGCCCGCCTTGCAGTATTACTGCGAAAAGCATAATTCACAATTTATGTAATAGATTCATAGGTAGTGGATTACAATTCAGAGGTTCATATATATACTCACATATATTAAGCGCAATTCAAAGTACAATTCCTCTTAATAAACTTATCTAATACAATTTTCTAATTTAACTACATATATTACAATTAAAATGTGTTGAGGCTTGCCTAGTGAGTCACGCCTGAAATAACCCATCCTAGTAGCGTATTTTGTGCAACAAACTGTCCCGCAATGGAGGGCATCAGGCCAGGCTGTAAGAGTTTGGCGTAGAGATCTGCGCCTAGTATCATCTCGACGGGTGCTGCTTTATGGAAGGAGGGATCGGCGAGCCGCAAGTTGTTAAAGGCTTGCACGGTCTGTTGCGATAATGAACGCAGCGGGGTCGGCGTTGGGCTGATGGTCTCAATGTTAGCGCAGACGGAGAACTCTTCATGACCACCAAGATTATTACGTAGCGTGAGATAGCATACTCCACCAGGTCCACGCACTGGAGTACGGAGTCGCAGCCTTGCGACGGTAGCAGCGGAAATTGTGGTCGCCGGACTCGCGGGGCTGAGGACAGCCCGCACTACGGTGAACCTATCTGCAGTACGTATACGTATTAACACCGTGGGCGATACCGCCAACATCTGCTGCCAGGCGAGTGCTGCTGATCGTCGCTCTATTATAGTTCGCACATTTCGTCACCTTGACCACGCCTTCTTTTCGACTGGGATAGCCGACGAGACGAGTCGAGTCTCGTTCGGTCAGGGATGCGTCGCTGAGACGAATCGAGTCTGAGTCGATCGCTTCCATGCCGCCAGTCTGATCGGAAGACACCAGCTCGCTGAAGTCGGCGAGACGGATCGAGTCTGGCTCGATCCTCATCGAGCGGTGTGAGCTGAAATTGCTGCGTGGTGGAACGCGGAGCTGATTGCGTCCTATTTAGTGGTGTAAGAGCGCTGCATTGGTCGGTAGTGTGTTTTCCGGTTTCGTATTTATTTGCTCGTTTGATCCACTGTTTTCGATTTCCGCCATCATTGCTTCTTCTTCTTCCACTTGCTGTGCCCAAGTAAGCTCGACGACGTCCTCATCACTGGGAGCTGGGGTTATGCAGCATAGTATGGTGGGCTTTCCCACATCGTTTGCACCGAATTACACTATCGCATTCGTTTATGGCATGGTTCGAAGCGAGGCAGTTGCTACAATAGCGATATATGAGAGCCGTTCTCAACCGTATTTCGGGAGTCATTCGGCGGAATTCAGCGCACAACCGGAGAGGATGATTTTCCTTACACAGACCACAGGCGAATTGAGACATTTTCTAAAGGAGAAAAATATAGTTAGTTGAAAGAATATCTAGTGTGTTTCGTTTGATAAAAGAACTAGTTTGACTACTGGTCTACTTATTATACCGCGCTGTGTTTGAACATCAACGATTCGCACTTTGTCATCTGACCCGGGATAAATCTTTACTATCCTGCTTAATCTCCACTCGTTTGGAGGTATGTTTTCTTCGCGAATAATTACTAAGTCGTTGACACTTAGGTTTCTCTGCGGATATTTCCACTTATGTCGTTTTTGTAATTCTGATAAATATTCAGATTTCCATCTTTGGCAGAACATCTGGTTCATGGCTTT